ATTAGATGTCTGGTCACGTTTATGACGTCCTCGTGCGCTTAACACAGAAGCAATTCCAACTTGGAAAGGTGAATTTCGAAGTTTGACCAATTGTTCTTTTAATGTGTCTACATCATCGTCAATTATAACGTAAGTTGGTGGTAAATTAGCGAGTTCGTTCATATTATCTTCGTAATTCTCAGAATTACCCGAAGACGATGGCTGTCGTGAGCCTATTGAACTTAGAGATGCAGAATGAGATCCTGGCCTAGAATCGGCTTTTTGTGATCCTATTTCGTCATCTCCGCCTATTGGTACATGAGAAATATCTGTACTCCAAGTTGTCAAACAGTTCGTCAAATGTCTAGCAAAATGACTATTGGTCTTAGTGTGAAGTCCGACTCTTAATCCTCTTAAACGTCGAGAAAATTTTTTCAGATCTTCAATCGATGGTTCACCAGAGATTCGTAAATGCGGGAATCGTTTGCGAGTTTCTTCGTTTACTCTGGGAGCCTTTGGTTTTTCAAGAGGAGGACCAACCTCCAACTCCAGGCTAACCATAAATAGTTGCCTATCATCATCTTGTTCTGCAGTAAGATTAGCGCCAATGAATTTGAACACTCTTGCAGAGAATTGCATAGCTGAATTCATCAGAAAAGATTTACGCTTTTGCTCGGGTGTCAATCCCGAACTTGCAAAATTGTGTGTGATTTCAATGGTACAAATTACTTTATCTCGTGGATTGATCACTGTGTCTTTATCAAGTAAGTCATCGTCATTTGTTCCATCGGCATCCTCAGAATTTCGTACTTTTAGTCCTATTTCAACGCAGGCTCCAGTACATGCACTTTTAAGAATGGATTTGAGTAACTACAAAAATATTTAATTAGAAATTATATAGGAAAAGCTTATATTATTTATATCCTCATCGAGATTAAAAAATCACTCACATCAAATAAAGCATATCTTAAGGTCGCCTCATCACCAACTACATTGATATGATTTAGACCATAATAGACATGGTAAAGCACCAATTCTACATTAGCATTAGAAGCAAAACCAGCTAAAGCGTCGCCGACTTTTTGCAGCATTTCACCGACATCGAAATTTCGTTTTACACGCGATAATGCAATTTTTCCGTTATCAGTAAACAACAAAAGAGACAATGTTCCTAAATGTGTTGACATATAGTTGACTGTCTTCATGGCGGTATGGATCGCCTTGATGGACGCAGTAGGAATCGGAATAGAGCAAGCGGATAGTTGTTCGTGAGGTTTCGAAAGAAAATTCGGCGGTGACAATTGTTTTAATGTCGTCATCGCTAGTTCAGTATTATTTCGTAATTGTTTTGCAATAGTACGCAGATATAATCCTTTACGTTCACTGAATCGATCAATTAAGCAGTGGACTGCATTCTGAGCATTTTCACGTTCATATTGCAGCAATGCCTGTTTACGAAAATTCTCTTTTTGATAAGCTATCAGGATTTGTTCCAGAACGATGTAGATCGGAAGTCCTAGCATAGATCCTCCGTAAAGAAATGGATTTTTTGAGAATACTTCTGTCTGAGATAATGGACCCGGTCCATTATTTGATTTATCATGCATCACACTTTCTAACAAATAGGCCACACCTTGTATGACAGTTACGCCCATTGAAATTCTTCGTGCGCCAGTGATGCTATTCGATAATGATAATGAGTTGCCTTGGGCGTACAAACAATAGCCCCAAAGACAAGCGGTTATTGAATAGATCAGATGCCATGGTAGGATTGCATATGCGCATAAGAAAAAAGCATAAACTGCAGCCAAAAAAGAAGAAACCAAACATAGAAAGAAGGACATATTTGCTATTCTTTGGACTACGCTCAGTACGGCGTCTGAAGAAGTCAAAGAAATGTCTGAGGGATCTGAAGTGGAGACAAAATCCAACGCGCAAATGGTCGAAAGTTTAATGTATTTATCCTCATAAGGCTCTTTATCAATTTTTTCGAAATCTTCATCAGAGGAAGATGATAAAATGTCATCGTCTGAGCTAATCGTATTCACGATTGACAAACCGTTTAGGTTTGCAGTTAGTGTCGAGGTATTATAGTCATTTGTTGAAGTATCTTCTATACTTTTCTCTGCGGATTTACTGGTGAAAGACTTATCGATCGACGTTGTTGAAACAGGGGGGGATATAGAGGAAGTAGTAATAGTAATAAAATTTCTGGCAGGTCTAGGCGAGACGAGAGCTTCCCCGGATTGAATACTTTCTATATTATTCATGTGTGCTTTTTTATTGTTTAGGAGCAAACGAAACGAACGTTATTTGCATATGAGAAAATTAATATTTCTCAAAAGTTCGGATCGAACGTTAAGTAAGAGTAGCGGCGGTTTAAAACAGGTATGAGAAACTGAGAGTTAGAAAAGGTGATAGTAACATACCCTTTTTTGTTCTTTTGTTGTGCTGATACACATAGATTGAGTCCCGATATCAAAAAAAGCATAGCAGCATTTTTTAATATTAGGATTGGATGTTACAGTAACGGACGAGCTGCGTATCGATATTCGATTTACAGTCTTGGCACATGATCTTTAGCCAAACATTTGATTGGCTCGCAATTAACATATATGATTAAATATAAAGCTTATTTAGAACTCGGAAATTTTTGATTACTATTCGCGTTCACCAATTTATCAAAACTTAAACTTTATCAATATTCAGTAATATTCAGTATTATTATTCACAAAGAAATCTTTGATGTTATTGTAAAGGGCACCAGTGAAGGTTTTCTAAACGTATTTTCCTATGTCTATGGCCACAGCTAGCACGACAATACCGCCTGCAACTAATAATGCTTCAACTAATGGTAGCGGGACAGTCATTGATACAAGTAAATTGAGAAATATGTGGGAGACGGCGTATATTGTAGCTTTTTGCGATAAATTTAAAAGTGCACTAAGAAATCTAGAGTTTTGGCCCGAGGTAAAACATCGGGTTTTATCTTTTTTGACACGTTTTGTGTCTTGAGTTTATCTCAAGCATCATGAATTGGTTAAAGTGTGCCTTGCTTTTTATTATTAGAAATGCACGTTCTTGTTTATCGATAAAGCTTACAATAAATTTTCTATTTAAATATAGGAGTTCGAGCGGACGCTCTATAGTTCCTCAACTGATGAATTGTTGGAGGAAATACACTGTGCATTTTTGACTAATGTCTTGAATAGGAAAAAAGCTGTCGAGTAAGTAAATGTTCATATTTGATACCCTGCGTTTCTTTAGGATGTGCTGATCTATTTATTAATGCATTTATTATTCGCTTCGCTTATTGAAGGCGAAATACATGGAAGAAATTTTTAACAGATACAATTGATCAACATTTAAAGAAGCGTTCTGATTTCTATCTCGACTATAACCCGATGCGAAGAGTAAATAATCATAATTATTATGAGCTTAGAGTCGAAGATAGGGTGTGTAAATTATCATAAACTGGGTATTTTCAGTACTGCCGGATGACAAATACGTGATTCCTTTATTTTAAATGCCTGTATATTTTAGGTGTTGATATTGTACAGTCTTGTAAATTGGCAGCTAAGAGAATCAAAATCAATTCGAGATCTTATTGATTCACATTATAAAAATCGTCATAAAACCGAAGCCATGAATCCTTTGCGATTAGAAATGATTGGACAAGATCGCAAGAATGCAAACTATTATTTTCTTGGCAGTGAGTATGAAGAATAAACCTATATAATAGCTATTAGAATATTTAATGATTTTCATGATGATCCTAGATTCCCCCCGGATATATCGTGAGAAGTATCCCAAACCAGGAATTCCAATAACTCATGAAAATGTAGAATGGATCGCCGTAACAACTACACTAGAGGAGATAAAAAGCTTAGTGGATGACACCAATCGGCTTAAACCAACATCTTTCACAAAAGATAGGGCGCTATATGCAAAACTAAAAGATGATATTATTCCGCGAGTTGAGGAATTGGTGCAGGTAAATTCGAAAGTCGCTTTATCATAATTCGCAATTTGTCATTAATATATTAATAATATTAAATAGGCTAAAGAAAAAAAAGATGAAAGACGTCGAAAACAAGAACGAATTGCTCAGAGATTTGCAATTCTGCATGCAAATGCAACTGTTTACGAAACACGAACCCGTAGTGCAAGTAGAAAAGCAGGACTTAATACACCAGAAGATTCTGTATCAATACGGAAGAATAGACTTCAAAATGATTACAAATATTCACCATATTTCCCAGCGAGCGCTCGGAGATTAGGAAAAAGAGCAGTGCGAGAAGAATCTCAAGCAGGTTCTGTAATTAGTAACCATAATACAACAAGCATAGATGTAATAATGCAAGAAGCAAATGAAGTTCAACATACAGTGGAAGAACTATCGACACTATCAAACACTAGTGAATTCACTTATGATAGTGCTGATAATGCACCACTAACAAGTCTAGAAAATATTACAAATGGACAAATTGCGATAGGTCATAAAACAACAACAAATGATGACTATACCACATACAATGCGATTACACCCAATGGAATCGAACAAAGTAATAATCAGCACACAAATGGCACCGCAATTTCAATGCCAATCAAAATGAATGGCGCGCACGACATTGCAGCAACTCCATCAACATCAAAATCTGCTTCTTCTATAGAAATATCAGATGATACCGGCACCGAGTCAATGTTAATCGAACAAGAACTTTTTGGCAAAGACTCTGATACAGATTTATCAGACATTTGGGAGAGTAGTGAAGATAGTAAGTGGGAGAGTGAAAATGAAGAAGAAAGTGATTAAGCGATGACGCATTTGTAATCTTGTATTCATAAAGTAAATATTATCATCACTTGAGCAAAATTCTGTAATTAATCTAAAAATCTTCCTTTGATGTATTTTATTCATGTTCTTGAGATACTTAATACATTGCATTAGAATCACTGCTTTATAAAACTCGAATATTCAGCTCACAATGCTTATAATAGTTTTATTATTCACTTTGCTGTAAAACATATTAATTATAAAATGTTTATAGCATATCATGAACTGTGAATCTAGTTTCAACTTGCATGATCCAAACAAGAACATTTGTTGTAAGTTCTCCAGAGTAAGTTGATAATTTAATAGAGAGATAAAGTGAAGATTTTGGATTGGTTAAACTCTTTTTTTATTATATTAATTAATTTGATCATGCTTTCATGAATCCTTTGAATTATTTATTATTTATCTTGTTATAATTTTAAAATTAATTATAAACAAAATATATTATAACTTTAATAAAATATATAATATAATAATAATCTTTATAATTATAAATAAAATAAAATACAAATTGAATAATTTCAATTTATAAATATTTATGATTTTATTATTTAAATAATATTTAAGTATGAATTTAAAAATACAAAATTGAATGATATATTATATTATATATAGATTTCATATAATTAATAAAATTAATTATCTTAAGTAATATTTCTAGAAAATAATATTATACTTAATTTAAGAATTATAAATATAATAAATAATAATATAAATAATAATAATATATAAAAATAAGTAAAAAAATAAAAAAATAATTAAAAGAATATTAATTAAAAATAATAATTATCTAAATTAATAATTATAAAATATATAGTAATTAAATAATTATTAGTATAATAATATATAATTAATTTAATTAAATTAATATATAATAATTATTTGAATTATAATATAAAGAATATAATTAAAATTTATTATATATTTATTTAAACTTTTAATTAGTTTAGCTTTTTTTTTATTTTATAAATTATTTTTTTTAAGAATTTATATCAAGAATTTGTTTTAATAATTTAATTTTACTTCTTAATTAAGAAATTATTTACTTTTTTTCTTGATTTTTTTCTTTATATTTCTGCTTTGTATTTTAAATAATAAGCTTTAAAATCTCTTAATTTTTTAGTTATTTTTTTATTTTTTATAATATTATTTAATTTATTTTTATTAATAATATTAATATTATTAGATAAGTATTTCTTAATAGAAATAGTTATATATTTATAATTTATTTTATTATATAATTTAGTAATTACTTTATTTTTTTGATAATAATATTATTTTAATTTGATTATAAAGTTAATTAATTTTTATACTAACTTAAAAGTTAATTTATTTTTATTTTTATAATAAATATAATAATTATTATAATCTTTTTTATATTTAAAATTTACTTATATATAAAAGTAATTTTACTAGTTCTTTTAATAGATATACTTATATTATTACTAAAAATAATTTCTTAATTATTATAATATTATAATAAATAAATATTATTGATTATAACTAATTATAATTTTAATAATTTTGAGCTATAATATTATAATAAATAAAATATTATTAAATTATAATAATTATAATTAATTATCTTAAATAATTTATTAATTTTTTAATTATATTTTTTAAAATAAAAAGTATATTATTTTATAAATTATTAATATAATATTTAATAATAATATTATAATAATTATTAAAATCATTCTAAATACTAATATAAAAAATATATATTTTATTTAATCTAAAATTTAATTTTTAAATTTTTTTATAAAATTATATATTATTATATATATAGTAAATTATTTTATTAAATTGAAATTATTTTTTATCAAGAAAAATAATTTGAAAATTTATTTTTTTTTAATTAATTTTTATAAAAAAATATTTTTATTTAAAATTGTATTATATTATAAATAACTAATAATAATTCTTTCTTATCTATTTTATTTATATTAATTTATTATTTTTTTATAATTAATTAAAATTTTCTTTATTTTTAATTTTAATTAAGATTTTTTTAAAAATTTTCTTTTTTATTACTTTATTAATTAGTAATTTTAATTTTTATTAAATCAAATTTTTAATAATAAAATTTAATAATCTCTATTTTTTTTATTTTATTAATTAATTTTTAAATTTTTTTATATTATAATAATTAAAATATTCTTTTTTATTCATAATTTTTTTATTTTTATTTTAAATTATATTTATAAAATAGTTTTATAAAAAAAAATAAAATAATTATTAAAAATAAAAAAAGATTTAAATTATAATAAAAATAAAATATTATATTTAAAAATCTTATTAATAAAAACTAAAATAAATAATAAATTTATTAGTATTAAATTTTTTATTCAATTAGTTTTATTTTTATTTTTAAAATAATATATTATTATTTTACTTTCTTTTCTTAATATTAATATTTTTTATTTTTCTTGATAAATTTTATAAGTAATTTTTTCTTAATTTAGATATTTTTAAAATATTTAATATTATTAATTTTAAAAATATATAAAATAATTTTTTTTCTTATTCTTTCTTTAAATACTTCTAATTATTATAATTTTTTAATTTTATAATAAATTTAATATAAATTAATTTTATATTATATTTTTATATAAATATAATTTTATATTAATTATATTATAATTTTAAATTTATTTTAACTAATTTTAATATTATTATTTAATATTACTTATAGTACTATTATAATATGAACTTTTAGTAGAATATTAGTTAATTTTATTATTGATCACTTTATATTATAATATGATTGGA